CTTCATATCCCCCCCCCTTTTTTTTTAATGTTTATTTATTTTTGAGACAGAGAGAGAAAGAGCATGAACGGGGGAGGGGCAGAGAGAGAGGGAGACACAGAATCGGAGGTAGGCTCCAGGCTCTAAGACATCAGCCCAGAGCCCGATGCAGGGCTTGAACTCACGGACCACAAGATCCTAACCTGAGCTGAAGTCAGACGCTTAACCGACTGAGCCACCCAGGCGCCCCACTTCATATCCCCTTTAACATTGACACACTATCACATCATTATTGTTACTAAGCACTAAAAAACTGTTCCCACCACTACATAAAACTGTGTTCTACTTGATTTCCAATGACCACCTAATTGGTAAATCCAAGGGCAACTTCTCACGTATCACCCTCTAATTTTTCTGTAGCATCTAATGCTAGTAACTACTTTTCTGCCTCTTAGAACTTTTTCTTTCTATGGCACTCATGACTCAATACTCTCCCAGTTTTCCTCCTACCTTATAGACTATTCAATTCAGCTTCCTGTACCAAAACTACTTCCTCTTCCTGTTACAGAAACAGTCCCAAGGTTCCGTCCTAAGCCCTCACTTCTCCCACAGTGGTTTCTTCCTCCTTGATCTAACCTACTCCCATAGCTTCCCCATCTCTGTCTCCAGCCCTAACTTCTCACAAACTCTAGAAGTGTAATTCCAGTTGAATACAGGACAGCTCCACAAGTATGTCCCACTTAAAATACCAATGTACCCAACCCATCATCAGACACCATATCTCCAACTTATTCATCATCCTGTCATTCACACATAGACACTATTTAGTGAGCACTCATCATGGGGCCAGACATTATGTTAAATGCTTCACATATATCAACTATTTTAGTCCTCACAAGAGTCCAATGAATGAAGTAGCTGTCCCCATTTTACAGATGGGGAAACCCAAACAAAGAGATGAATTAATCTCTTCAAAGTCACATAGTTAAAATGTGGTACAGTCAGGATTTAAAGCAGGCAGTCTGATTTCAAAGATCATGCTTTAAACAACTACACTCTATTACCTCCCGATTGCCCAGGCCTGAAACCTGCCTATAGGCCTACACCAGGCACTATGAACTTTTAGTCCTGTCACCTCTAGGTCCTTCCCATCTGATCTTCTTTTCCATTCTCACTAACATCACTATACTTCGGTCCCCATATGCCACTTACCTTCTCTCAACTTCCCATCTCACATCTCTCCATATTTCATCTATTTATTTGACACTCTCCTGCTTAAAAATCATCAGTGGCTCAGGGTGCCTGGGTGACTCTGTCAGTTAAACATCTAACTCATGATTTAGGCTCAGGTCATGATCTCACCACGGTTGTAGGATCAAGCCCCATATCAGGCTCTGCGCTGACTGTAGAGCCCACTTGGGGTTCTCTCTCTCCCTCTCTCTCTGCTCTTGCCCCACTCTCTCTCTCTCTCTCTCAAAATAAATAAATTTTTAAAAAATCATCAGTGGCTCACAGCTCCCCATTGCCTACAGGATAAAGTCAAAACTCCTTCTAGCCTCATCTACCACCATTCTTCTTCCTTCTAGCATATTCCAGTTAGACAGGGCATGTGTCATTCTTTTTGACTGCCTAGCATCGAACCCCCTTCTTACATCTAGGCAATTCCCTACCTCCCAATACAGACAATAAAAATGCAAATGGACCCTTTCCAGGACTCCTTTGCAACTAACTCATGGTACCTGACATAGGCCATAACAATTACATGTGTTATCCTATGACTATGAACTGAAAACTGGGCACAGAGAATTCTCTCTGGTAGCAAAAACAGTTGCAAGAAGATCAGAGTTCCTGGGCTGCACCAAATGTGCAGGGCCAGAGGTTTTCCATGGCATAAGTACAATACCCACCCCCTGGTGGCAGCAGCTTTTCCTTGTGGTTCCTCACTGGAGTGACCAGGATAGTTCCAGAATGATAGCATTCAAACCTGGTCTCAGCCATCATGACAATTCTGTGAGCTACCCAATATCCTTTTTAAAAATTCCTTTTTGGGGGTGCCTGGGTGGCTCAGTCAGTTAAGCAACTGACTTCGGCTTAGGTCGTGATCTCACGGTTTGTGAGTCCAAGCCCCGCACTGGGCTCTGTGCTTGACAGCTCAGAGCCTGGAGCATGCTTTGGATTCTGTGTCTCCCTCTCTCTCTGCCCCTGCTCCACTCACACTCTGTCTCTCTCTCTCAAAAATAAACATTTAAAAAATAAAAAAAAAAAAAGAACATGCCCTTTGCTTTTATAATTTTGTTCACTCATATAATTTTGCCCACTGTTTCTTCCACCCAGAATTCTTCTCCATTAATCAAAATTCTTCCCATCTTTTAAGGCCCAGCACAAGTGCTAATTTCCCCATAAACTTAAGAGCTAATACTAAATGAGCACTTTCAGGGCCAGGCATTCTCCTCATCTGATCTTCATAAGAAGAGTAAGAGGTAGATACTAGCATTAGTCTTATTTTATAGTTGAGGAAACTGAAGCAAAAACAAATGAAGTATATTGCCCAAAGTCATAGAGCTAGTGAACAGTGATAGAGCTAGAAGTCAAATCCAGGAAATCTGACTCCAGACCCCTGCCCTTAACCAGGGGACAGCAAAAGCCAGTCCACAAGTCAACTCTAGCCCAGCAGCCAAATCTGGCTCATGGCATGTTTGTATACATCCATGATCTAAGACCATTTCCTGCATTTTTAAGTAGTTGGGAGGAAAAAAAAAATTTTCATGATCCATGAACATCATACAAAATTCACATTTCAAAGTCCAGCACTAGTCCAACATAGTGTCTGTGGCTGCTTTCACGCCATAACAGCAGATTTAAGTAGCTGCAACAGAGACAGGATGGCCTAAAGGGCCACAAACCCTCAAATATTTATTTTTTGGCCCTTTATGGAAAAAATTTAAGACCTTACTTTTAACTACTACATTGTCTGTTAAAAAGCTTTCCTTGATCCCTTACTTCCCCAACCTAGAATAAATCTATCCCTTCTCTGTATTTGTATGCCCTTTGCATCTCTCTTGTAACAGGTAGTCTATTTTGCTTTAAATTACATTTGACTTATTTTTTTCCTTGAGCAGACTACAAACTCCTTGAAGGCAGGAAGTAATCTTTTGCACTTTGCATTACTCTTGGTGCCTTGCCTATTGTTGGCAGTCAATAAATGCTTGCTGGCTTTAAATAAAATTTTGTAGTGTGCACTTTTATTTTTTTATTTATTTATTTATTTATTTTTTTTAATTTTTTTTTTCAACGTTTATTTATTTTTGGGACAGAGAGAGACAGAGCATGAACGGGGGAGGGGCAGAGAGAGAGGGAGACACAGAATCGGAAACAGGCTCCAGGCTCTGAGCCATCAGCCCAGAGCCTGACGCGGGGCTCGAACTCACGGACCGCGAGATCGTGACCTGGCTGAAGTCGGACGCCCAACCGACTGCGCCACCCAGGCGCCCCATGTAGTGTGCACTTTTAAACAGATTTTCCTAACATGAATATGAATCACAGAAATCACAGACTAGACTCTGTATTGGCAGGATGGGTAACAATAGGCCTCAATCACTGCTGATAGCTATCTAAATTGGTACAACCTTTCCAAAGGGTAATTCTACCTGTTCATCAAATACCTTGAAAGTGTGTTTTGGGGGTGCCTGGGTGGTTCAGTTGGGTAAGCATCCAACTTTGGCTGTCATGATCGCGCAGTTCGTGAGTTCGAGTCTCACGTCAGGCTCTGTGCTGACAGCTCAGAGCCTAGAGCCTGCTTCGGATTTTGTGTCTCCCTCTCTCAAAAATAGACATTAAAAAAAATTTTTTTTAAGTGTGTTTTTTAGGACTCAGAGTTCCGCTGTTGGAAATCTGTTCTAAGGAAATAAACAGACTTACGTGCAAAAATGCAATAATAGTGGTCATAGGAGTTAACACATTTACTAAGTACCTATTACATACCAGATATTGAGCTAAGTCCTTTAAATGCAGAACCTCTATTTAGCCCTATTTTATTTTTTAAAGGTTTTTAATTTTTGTTTTGTTTTGTTTTTGAGAGAAAGCAGGGGATGGGCAGAGAGAGAGGGGGAAAGAATACCAAGCAGGCTCTGTGCCGTCAGCACAGAACCCCATGCAGGGCTCAATATCATGAATTGTGAGATCATGACCTGAGACGAAATCAAGAGTCAGACGCTTAACCAACCAAGCCACCCAGGTGTCCCAGCGCTATTTTATAGATAGGAAATTAAATCTCAAGAGGTTAAATAATTTGTCAAAAGTTAAGGAATGACAGGTTGTTGTTTTGTTTTTGTTTTTTTTTTAGGGGAGAACTATAGCTAATTGTAATTCTTCATATTAGTCTTTTTATATTTATTACTGTAATAAGCATGTATTACATATATAATTTTTTAAGGCAGTAAGATAGCACAGAAATCTTACTCCTGTATTTTTTTTTTCCTTTGGAAGCTAGGGAAAATAAGTCAGAACAGAACAAGCAAAATATTCTTTTTCATTTACTTTGGAAAGAACAATAAAAAGTCACCATCCTGGACTTTGAAACAAGAACAGTATTTCCTCACATAAAAACAGCCTTGAGAACAACATTGTGGATCCTATGTGTTTCCCAGATAATATCACTCAGCCAATTTGTCCTGCTTTCCTAAAATGCCATACTAGTTTGCCAATATGTAAGGAAACAAAAAATTATGTTGTGACTTGTACTGAATAAAAATTCTTTGGATATGAGGATGGATTCATTCATAACTATAGCAATTTGGAGAGGAAAAGTCCCACCCTATCTATAAATCTCCAGGGGTTATTACATGACCCCAAATCACTAAGTCTTGGACTTTCTTGGATTCAAGCTGTTTTGCCTCTGGTCCAAAAACACTAGTCCAAGATCTCCCTTGTATCTACACAATTTGAATTAAAACAATACTTCCAAGCTAGATCTATTAAATGCTATGATGGCCATGTAAGAACTTCCCAGAGCCACACCTTACCTCTTCTGGCACAATAATTAATGGATACTTGTCCTCAGATAAAAAGTTGAAAATAACCCATACTTTAAATGCATCTTCTTCTGTAATGAGCAAGGGGCTCTTGGTGAGGTTTTTTTTGACACAGAGGGTCCAACACATCCTATTGAACTCAATCTTGTCAAAGTTGTCTTGGACCTAAAAAAGAATGAGTTAAAATTTCAATGAAAAATATCCAATGAAGGAGGAAAAATTCCAAAATAAGCAGAATATAAGCCAAGTAAAACAGATACAGGCTTCCATTCTAATCAATCCAATTAACTAATAATCCAATTAATGAATAGACATTTTCTATTTTTTTTTTAATGTTTATTTATTTTTGAGACAGGGAGAGACACAGCATGAACAGGGGAGGGTCAGAGAGAGGGAGACACAGAATCTATCTGAAGCAGGCTCCAGGCTCTGAGCTGTCAGCACAGAGCCTGATGCGGGGCTAGAACTCACGGACTGCGAGATCATGACCTGAGCCGAAGTCAGCCGCTTAACCAACTGAGCCACCCAGGCGCCCTGACATTTTCTAATTTCATTTGCTTGTGTACCACACTTTCAAAGGCCCAATTAAGAATGTTATAGTTAGCCTGACACTAAAGCAATATCTATCTGCCCATATCACTCACTTGGCACATAAAATACTAGCTTGTTGAATAGTTATTTTTTCACATGTACACACTATCTTCTAAATAAAACTACCAACCCTGGTACAGAGGAGTGGAGAGTGTCAATTACTCAGTATGAGCCACATACTGATATCTCATCTTTACCCATATAGTCAAAGAAGATATTTTTTTTTGGAAAAAACTTAAACTGAAATTCTAAAAAGACAGTCTGCCCTTCAGTCATTCAATCATGCAATCAACATTCCCTCAGGATCTACTATAAGCCAAGTGCTATGTTACAAATTAAGGATATAAAGATGAAGAAGAACTTGGTCTCTGCTCACAAAATATTCAGTTTATTAGGGAAAACAGATATGCAAATAGACAAATTCTAATATAACACCATGTGTAATTCAATAGTTTTTCACTCATTCAAAAGATAAAATTTAGATAGTAATTATGATCTGCCAGAGACAATGCAAAGATACTTAATGTAGTAGTAGCCCATGTCTCCAAGGAATGCCAAGACAATTACAATACAGTGTGATAAGTACTATAATAGAAATAAGCAGAGGGTTCTGTGGGAACACTGAGGAACTAACCCATCTTAAGAACTAGGGGAAGATTTGCAGAAAAAATAACATGACAACAGAGTGGAATTCAAAGGATCATTAAAAGTCAGTTTATAGTCACTATGGAAAACCATATGCAGAATCCTCAAAAAATTAAAAATAGGACTGCCATACAATCCAGCAATTCCACTTCTGGAAATATAATTATATATTATAATATACATAATAATAATCCAATGGTAACAAAAACACTAACTCAGGTAAATATCTGTACTCCCATGTTCACAGCAACATTATTCTCAATAGCCCAGACATGGAAACAACCTAAGTATCCATTGATAGATGAATGGATAAAGAAATTGTAATACACACACACACACACACACACACACACACACACATATATATATATATATAAATGAATATTATTTAGCCATAAAAAATAAGGAAATCCTACAATTTGCAACCACACGGATGGAACTTGAAGGCACTACGCTAAGTGAAATAAGTCAGAGAAAGACAAATATTGTATGATCTCACTTGTATGTGGAATCTAAAAAAAAAAAAAACTCATAGAAAAAGAGATCAGACTTGTGGTTACCAGAAGCAGGTGGTGGGGGGAGGGAGAACTGGAATAAGGTGGTCTAAAGATACAAACTTCCAGTTATAAAATAAACAAGTAGAAGGGAGGTAATATACAACATAATGACTATAGCTAACACTGCTGTATGACATAGAAAAGTTGTTAAGGATATAATACATCCTAAGAGTTCTCACCATAAGGAGAAAATGTTTCCCCTTTATTTTTTTCTTCCTTCTTTTCTTTTTATTGTATGTGTATGAAATGATGGATGTTAGCTGAACCTATTATGGTAATTATTTCACAATATATGTAAATCAAACCATCCTGTGAGGCTTAAAGTTATTCTGTGATGCAAGTTAATTATTTCTCAATAAAACTGGGGGAAAACAAAATGTAAACAGTTCAAGAATGGGGTAAGGAGAATTCTAGGTAGAACAATGTGAGAAAGCCCAGAGGTGGAGACAACCATGGTCAGTTCAGAAGTATTGTAGAAGTTTAATGTGAATGGAGCACTTGGTGCTAAAGAGTGGTATGATTCAAGGCTATTTTGTAAGTGCAAATAACAGAAAACACCCTGGGTTCCTTTAAACATAAAAAGAATTCATCGAAAAAACAATGGGTAACCTCAAAGATCCATCACAAGGGATGGAAAATCTAGGCTCTGAAACTAAGTCATTACCGATGTAGGCTAGTCAGTCCAAATCACAGCTGAAACTATGCATGGTAAGAGTATAGTACAGACATCACTGCCAATGTAACAAGAGGCCATCACTGCTGCCACTGACCCAGTCTTTGATCCTCTGTGTCACTCATGAGTGTCTGAACTTTTCAATATCTGAGATGTGAGACAGGTCCTTCCCCCACCAAGGCACTGTGCAATTTCCTAAACATAAGAGTTCAGATACTGGGCAGACAAAAATGATAAGTGACCCCTGCATGGAGCACAGCTAAAGATGAGGCGAGAGAGAGAAGTGAAGGCCAGATCATAAAGAGCCTTATAATCCATATTAAGGAGTTAGGATTTATCTGTACTGAAAGAGTGGATAGGAGCACCATATACAGCCTGCATTTTAAAAGCCATATTCTGGGACAATAAGTAAGATGTACTAAAGAAGGCAGAGTGGCTGGCAGGACAATATGTGCAAAGCATTTCTGTTTGGAGAAATAGAAACAAAGCGTTATGTGTACCATAAGGAAGAAGTCACTAGCTGACTACACGGAGAAATTTCTCTTGATCCCTGACTAGGACGTGTGGTTGGCACACCAGTTCCCCAGGAGTAGGACGATATCCTTTGTGCTCTGCCTGCAGTACCCTGTCTCAGTCTGACACCATTTCTCACACCACAATCATACACAATTGATCCCTTGAAGGAAAGCAGTAGTTGCTGCTGCAGCATCTTTTTTTTTTTCCTTTTTCTTTTTTAACACCATTTATGAGGACTTAGCATATGCTTGGCATTTTATATGCAGTTGCTTACTTAAACTTGATATTAGCCTTGTAAGGCTAAATATTGCCCCTATTTTACAGATCAGGAAATAGAGGTGCAGAAATATTGAGTACTTTTACCAAGTTCACATGGCTTATAAATATTAGGAAACAGAAGTTCAGAAAAATTGAATACCAAGTTCATGTAGCTGGTAAATATCAAAACTAGCATTTAAATCAAGGTTCAAATGCTGTCTCTTTCCACTATGCTAAACTGCTTATAGAACTCAACAGATGGAGGACATCTATATAATGTAAGACACCTCTATAGGACTAGTTTCACAGGCCACCACCATCAACTCTATCCACCTGCACCCCTAAAAAACACTAAGGGGAAATGACATGTACACAAAAGCATATAGGCTTACCTGAGGAACAAGAAGTGATTCTATGTGGATTATGTGACAAATTATAGGATTCCTGAGGGGGAGTGCCTAGATTTATGGCTAGAAAAGCAAACATAGACCAAATCACAAACAGCTTCATAATTTTAAGAAATAGTCCATAAGAAACTCCCAATTGAAAGGTTTTAGAGCAGAGAATGAGTAGGTCATCTACTGCTCAGATTAGTACTTTGCAGAAAAGATGGTATTTGAAGCGGATCTTGAAGTATATTGAAGGGTATGAGGATAAGTAACACAAAAGACAGGAAAAGAAATGGCATGAGCAAAGGTATGGCAGAAACATCACACCAACCAAGTCTGGGAAACAGATACAGGATGAAGGAGACAAAAGCAAGACAGAAGGAAAGATAAAGTTTTCAATTATGAGCATCTTCAACCTGTCTAGTAAGACATTCAGATGGAGGTGTCCAAAGACAAAGAAGTGGAACTGTAGCAAATGAGGAGAGGCAGACTTGTCAGTCAACTGCCTGCTAATGATGACTGAAGCCATGATGGTCAAATGAGATCACTGACAGAAAACATAAATCAAGAAAAGAGATGGGGTCAAAAAACAGAACATCAGGGGATACAGACATTACAAAACTAGAGGAGGAAGAGGAATTATGATGACCAAAAGAACAAAGTGGCAGGAGAACCACAAAGATATGAAAATTGAGTGAGGAAACAGTTAAGGAAGTTTGATCAATAGTGTCATGCTACAGAGATTAAAAAGGAGTTAAGAATAGACCACTGGTTTTCTAATTTAGGGGTTACTAGTTACCTTCAAGAGAGCCAAGAAGTTTGGGTAAAAATCAGATTGCAATGGCTTTAGAAACCAAACAAATTTTCCATAAATTTTCCCAGGAAATAAGTAGTGGCTTTTTTTTTTAAATCAAATTCACTGTATATTACTTAATTTTAATAAGTTGTCTGTTGGCTTACTCCTTCTCTAAAATATACTGGCACTATTCTTTAGTTTAATCATGCTCAATGGTAAAAGCATACTAAATGATGGCATTTACATCTTTTTAAAAAAGTACAAAATGAGATCATGTATGAAAAGCTCACAGCTAACATCATACTCAACAGTGAAAAACAGTTTTTCCTCTAAGATCAGAACAAGGCAAGGATGCCCACTCTCACCACTTCTATTCAACACAATACTGGAAGTCTTAGCCAGAGCAATTAGACAAAAAAAGGAAAAAAGAAATATAAAGCATCCAAATTAGAACAGAAAAAGTAAAACTATCTGCCAATAACATGCTCTTTCTTTTATGCAGAAAGCTCTAAAGATTCCACAAAGAAAACCTTTTAGAACTAATAAATTTGGCAAAGTTGCAGAACACTCAGAAATCAGTTGGCAAAGTTGCAGGATTCTCAAAAATCAGTTGTGTTTCAATACACTAACAATAAACAATCTAAAAAAGAAAATTTTTAAATCCCATTTAGTAGAGCATCAAAAAGAATTAAATACTTAGGAATAAACTTAACCAAGAAGGCAAAAGACTTGTACATTGC